TTCCAGTCAAAATTCCAGCAATTATTTTGTGCACATGGACAATGATTCTAAAGCTTATATAGAAAGGCAAAGGACACAGAATAGCCAATATAAAACTGAAGAAGAACAAAGTTAGAAGACTGACACTATTCAACTTCAAGACATAACATAGTTACAATAGTCAAGACAGTGAGGTATCAGTTAAACACTATAGACAAATCCACAGATCAGAATGTAAAGTCTATTGCATAATCAACAAAAAAACATACTATGCTTCTGTTGACATTTTTCTTTCTGTCTTGGTACTAACCAATCGTCGGGAGTGTACTGTATTTCAGCTTACTATTTTTTTGGTCCTAAGCTCAAATGTTACAGAATCTGAAAGACCTTTATTTGGATTTAAACATATCCAATTGTACCATACTCTGTACACATAAAAGGTATAAATGCATAAATACATTTGTCTTTGTATTATAAGTTTATCTATTTTATCTCTCAAAACAGCTCATAAGCTCTTTAGAGCAGGGGCTAGCTTCTCTTCTACTCTATAAAAAACATCAGAGCTCTTAGTACAGTGATAAAATAGCTACTCTATACATTACAAAGAGAATGGGTCTTTTCAACCTATTCCTAGGCATGCAAAATTTTAGTTTACTTTAATTTTTTAAAATAAATTTAATCCTCATGAAAGTTGATGCCTTTTTCAGGATGAAACAGTATACACGATCAAAACTCTTGAAGATTTTTCCTATTTCATCATTAGGCCTCAAACATGACCTAAAATAAACAATTAAAAATAGAATATACATATGACCAACTGTGATTTATGCTAGGAATGCAAAGTTGGTTTACATGCAAAATGAATCAATGTGATATGCCATATTCATAGAATTAAGGGAATTTTTTAAAAACATGATCATCTCAATAGATGCAGAAGAAGCATTTGACAAAAGTGAACATGCTTTCATGATTTAAAAAAAAAAAAAAACTCAACCAAGAATAGAAGAAAACTTCCTCAACCCGATAAAGAACATTTATAATAAACCTACAGCTAACATTATATTTAATAACTGCAAGCTTTCTTCCTAAAAGCAGGAACAAGTCAGGAATGTCTACTATCACACCATTCTTAGTCAAGACAATTAGGCAAGAAAAAGAAATAGGAGGCATCCAGTTTGGAAAGGAAGAAGTAAAAGTCTGTTGTACATCACATGATTTTGTATATAGTAAATCCTAAGGAATCTACCAAAAAAAAAAAAAAAACTATTAAACTAACAAACTAGTTCAGCAAACAGGATACAAGATCAACCTACAAAAGTTGATAGATCATAGGCTGGAGTTGTGACTCAGCAGTAGAAACACTTGACTAGCACACATGAGGCACTGGATTTGATCCCTAGCACCACATTAAAAAAAAAAAAATTAAAAATAAAGGTACTGTGTGTCCATCTACAGCTAAAAAAAAAAAAAAAAGGTTGGCAGATCAGCATACTTCTATATACTATCAATGAACAATCTAAAACTGAAACTAGGAAAATACTTCCATTTATAATAGCATCAAAAAGAATCAAATACTTAGAAATAACAAAAAGAAAGGATAAGATTCATACACTGAAAACTACACAGCACTATTTAAAGAAATAAAAGAAGACCTAAATAAAAGACATACTGTGTTCATGGATTAGAGAAATTCGTATTAAGATGGCTACATCTCCCAAATTGGATCTACAGAAGAAGATCCAATGAAATCCCAATCAAAATTCCAGCTGTCTTTTGATTTTTTTCAAGAGAAACTAATGGGCTGATGCTAAACTTCATAAGGTAATGCAAAGGACTCAGAATAAACAAAACAATATTGAAAAAGAAGAAAGTTGAAGGACTCCTATTCTTGATTTCAAAACTTAAAAAAGCTACAGTAATTACAACAGTGAAGTACTGGCATAAGAACTGACACACAGATCAGTGAAACAATTTAAAGGTATGGAAACAAACCCCAACATCTATGACTGGCTAATTTTCGCAAGGATGCCAATATAACTAAATAGTTATACCAATACATGCAAAAGAATAAAATTGGCTCTCTACCTCATATCATCCAAAAAATTAATTGAAAAGGAATTAAAGAACTAAATGAAAGAGTTAAAACTATAGAACTCTTAAAGAAAATATAGGTGTAACTCTCCATAACCCTGGACTTGACAATGGTTTCTTATTGATGATACCTAAGGTAGAAGCAACCAAAGAAAAATTGGACATCGTTGAAATTTAAAACTTTTGTGCAAGAGGACATATCAAGAAAGTGAAAAAAAAACAAACAAAAAAAAACCCAACCTACAGAATGGCAGAATATACTTGGGAATTACCTGATAACAATATTGTATCTAGAATATATAAAGAAATTTCAAGACTCTAATAAAAGAACAACCTGTTTAAAATAAGCAAAAGATTTGAATAGACATTTCCAAAGACAACATACAAACTGCCAGCAAGGATATGAAAATATCCCCAACATCATTATTCTTTAAGGAAATTTAAATCAAAACCACAGTGAAATATTTCACACCCAACAGAATAACCAGAATGATAATTTTTAAATGGATAAGTGTTTACAAGGATATAGAAAAATTGGAGCCCTCTTATGTTATTGATAGGAATGTTAAATAATGCAGCCACTATAGAAAGAGAGCTGTTCCTCAAAAAGCTAAACACTGAATTACACATGATCCAGCAATTTCACTACTAAACTATATACCCAAAAGAACTGAAAGCAGGGACTTGAACTTTTACACCTGAACTCCAGTGTTCACTGAGGCACTATTCACAATAGCTAAAAAGTAGAAACAACCCAAGAGTTTGTCGATAGATGAACATGGTTTTAAAATGTGGCACATATATACAATAGAATATTATCCAACCACAAAAGGAATAAAGTTCCGTTACAACCTCAACATCAATGAGCTTTGAGGACATTTTGGTAAGTGAAATAAACCATATGAAAACGAACAAATACTGTATAATTCTAGTTGTATGAGGTACCTAGAGGCAAATTTAGGGACAGAAAGTAAATTAGGGGCTTGGTAGAATGGGATTGGAGAGTTATTGCTTAAAGGTTACAGAGTTTCTGTTTAAGGCTATAAGAAGTTTTGGAAATAGTGTGATGGTTGCATAACACTGTGAATATACTTAATGCCACCAAACTGGACACTTAAAAAGGCAAACTTTACATTATGTATCTTTTATCATGATATTTTAAAATAATGTAATATACCAAGAACCATACAATGTACACATTAAATGGGTGATTTGTATGGTATATGAATTGTGACTCAATAAAGCTGTTCTTATAAAAAGAAGGAAGAATAAAAAGAAATGAGATCTCCAGCTATGAAAAGACAGAGAAATCAAGTGCATATTGCTAAGTGAAAGAAATAAGTCTGAAAATGCTACACACTTTGATTCTAACTTTATGGTTCTGGAAAAGGCAAAAGCATAAAGACCAGTGGTTTCCTGGGGCTCAGGAGGTCATGAATGAGTGAATCACAGAGCATTTTCAGGTCAGTAAAACTATTCTGTATGATACTGAATGGTGGGACACAGGACATCAGGCATTTTTCAAAGCATGTAGAACTGTATAACAAAGAGAGTGAACTCTCACATAAAATATGAACTTTAGGGGCTGGAGTTGTAGCCCCCTCAGTTGTAGAGGGCTTGCCTAGCATGTGTGAACCAGTGGGTTCGATCCTCAGCACAACATACAAATATAAAAATAAAATAAAGGTATTGTGTCCATCTACAACTAAAAATATTTTTTAAATATGAACTTTAGTTAATAACATCAATACTGGCTTATCAATTGTAAAAAATGTAACACATTATTGCAAGATGTTACTAGTAAGAGAAATCATTGGTGGGGGGGAGGGGTATGTAGAAACTGTACTTTCTGCATAATTTTTCCAGAACATAATTTTTCAAACTGCCCTTTAAAAAAAGATCTATTTTTAAATGCACACTTAACATAGACTGCACTACATTTTATCTTCTCATGATTCATAAGATTATTCATTTTAAACACAAATTATAATTTTACATTAAATGGAGAGGAAATGCTGATTCTTCTGCCATAGTACAATATCAGACACTACTGAATCATCTGAATATTCTATACATCCTTCCCTATTTCACCTCCTCTTCCACCCACAAAAGAATTATTTTATGACCTAAATTTCTGTATTCATATAAATACCTCCATCTAGATGGATTTTGTAGATTCCAGCATCTTTGGAAACATTTCTAATTTATGACTAAATTCCATCTAATTATAATTATGAATTACAGTGACATTATTAATACCAAATTGCCATGCCTGTTTTATTCATTTTCTGTGAGGTAGCATTTTATCAGAAACCTAAGTGTATCGATTTTACACATCTTTTTGAAAAAAATTTGTTATTCTCTAAGGCACTTTAAGAATCAAATTAGAACCATTAACTAGAGAAAAAGTATATGGTACATTTAAGAACAACTTTTCCGCAAGGTGCAGTGGCACTCACCTGTAATCCCAGAGACTTGGGAGGCTGAGGCAGAAAGAATGCAAGTTCAAGGTCAGCCAGGGCAATTTAATGAGACCTTTCTCAAAATAAAAAGGGATAGAGATGATGGAGCTCAGTGGTAGAATGCCCCTGCAGTCAATCCACGATATTGAAACAAACAAACAAATAATAAATGAATGAATGAATGCCAGGCATATAGCAAATGCCTACAATTCCAGCTTCTCAGGAGGCTAAGGCAGAAGGATTGCAAGTTCAAAGCCAGCCTGGATAATTTAACAAGATCGTGTCTCAAAAAGGGCTGGGAATAGAGTTCAATGGTAAAGCACCTCTGGGTACAATTCCCAGTACCACAAAAAAAAAATTTTTTTTTAATTAAAACAAAAAAGAACTTTTTCCCAGTTCCTGTTTTAAAATGATCCCTCCCAAACTCCTATCTTTACTGTAACACTGTATAACTTCTTTAACTGTTACCTTGATCTTTTCCAGCTTCATCTATGTGTTGAAAGTCTTTTAGCATATGAAGATTACAGAACCCCTCTCTGCAATGATGAATAACTTTCTTTGATCCATTCTTGATGAGATAATCCATTAGGGTAAGGGATTTATACACATGACGCCAGTTCTTCCCATGGTCACTGAGTCTCTGCCATAGCATATTCATGATCTCCGAGAGAGAAATTGTGTTGAAAGTCAAATCACTGATATCCAACATCAGAGAACTAGAGGGACCCCAAGGGTCATTAGAAGTTGCTTCCCTGACTTTTATTTCAGCATCTGAGTAATTTTTCATGAAGTTTTTCATTTGCCTCCTGAATGCCATAGGTAGGACAAGTTTGAAGGTGAAAAGTGGGGGTGAGAGCAATGGAACAGGAATTTGTGTTACTGGTTTATAAAACTCTTGACAAGTAGTTCTGCTGCTCCCAAATACAAATGATTAATCTCCATGTTGATAAAGTATCAATTTCCTACAAAAAAGCAAAAAAAATATGTAAGTTAAATATTCTTTAAAATATTCTACGGAAGACCAGGTCAATCTGAAAAATCTAGGTTGTTTCTAAATCAGTCTGCTCACTTTACATCAATCACAATAGAGGGTATACCACATTAATGTTCCCAAGATAGGTACAGGAATATCCTTCATAAGAGATTGGCCTATATTATTTAAAGAAATAAAGGTGGTCTTTCTACTCCTAAAAGTTCTTGTGGAAAATATCATTGAACCTCTTTAGCCAGAAATATAATTATTATAAAGCATTACATGAGTAGTAGACAAATTAGTGTAAGAAATGGAATTTGCTCTCTGACATCTCTTGCTTAACATATATTGCCATGTATAAAAATATTATGTCCTGAAAGCAATTAAAATGATGGTGAAAACTAAGAATCTCCTAGTGGTGCTATAACTATGTTCTTTTCAGAACTGTAAGTCATCACAATCTGATCTAAATATGGCCTGTTTTCTTGTTAATCTGAAAGAAAGGAGAATCAACTACTAAGACAAATACTTGTACCTCTGTGGACTACACAGCCAATTCACAGTACCCTAAAACCAATGTTTTTGTCCAGATAAGCTAGTAAATTAGAGTAAAAGGTTAAGTTGATCTTTATTCACCTTTAGAAAAAAGTATGGGTTTAGAATTAAACAGTGTCAACAGTGAGATTAAAATAATGTAAAGATTTTCTTAAAGCCTGGAGTAATCAGCATGTATCTAACAGATCGCAAATAAGTGCATACAAAGAGAAACTCATGTAGGTTGATGCAAAAAACACATTAAAACTTAAAAGGGTCCCAGCTACTTGGGAGGCTGGGGCAGGAGGATTATGAGTTTGAGCCCAACCTGGGCAACATAGCAAGATCCTGACTCAAAACAAAACAAAAACTTAAAATGGTGTGTGCAGCCCCAAAACTTTACATGATTCTCGTGAATTATCAATTCACAATTTACATGAAATCATTCCCTTTCCTCTTCCATTACTCTGCATTAAGGTGAGTCAGTCAGTTTGCAATTTCTCCAGTGATTTACCACTTATGGCTTCCAAGATAGTGTGCCAAACTGATTTCAAGTCCTGATGAGTGAACAAACCCACAGCAGTCTAGACAAATCTATAATCCTATTTTATTTGAGAAACTACCAACATACAAAAGAAAAAAAATGCTAAAATCCATAACGAATGTTATTTTTAGTTTTATTTCCTCCTTTACCTTTGCAGTTACTAGCTCAGGCCTGATTAATTTCTGTGTATTGAAGGCAGGCATAAATTTTCAGAAGCATCCTAAATGAACTATCATTTCTTTTTTAAAGACATAAAGATGTAAAAATGCAACATAACCTCAAGTAAGCAAGACAGAAAAGGTTATTGGTTTACTTATGACTTCTCAGAAAAACTACCATCAACCCTAGGAAGAAAAACACAAAAGCATTTCTATAACTTCATGATTTTCTCATTTGCACTTCAAAAATAGGCATGTTTATTGGACTCCCCCATGCAGTAAAAACTGATTTATAATGCTTCAATAAGCTATTAAAGCAGGACACAGTAGCATATACCTAAAATACCAGCAACATGGGAGGCTGAGGCAGGAGGATCACAAGTTCAAGGCCAGCACTGGCAATTTACTGAGAACGTGTCCCAAAATAAAAAGGACTGGGGATGTAACTCAATGATAAAGTGCCCCTGGGTTCAATCCCAAGTACCAAAAATAAACAAATAAAAATAAGCTATTAAAATTTTCAATTTCTACTGTTCCTTTTTACCCTCTACCAAACTCACTCAAGGCAGAGATTCACTATGACATTGGCTTAGAGAAACAAATATTGATCTGTTTCTTTACAAGTCTATTAAAAAGAAACTGTTAGAATGCTGAATTGAACAACAGCTGTAAAATATTTTTTATAGCTACCTATCTTCATTTTGGAACAATCTTAATTTTTAGGTTTTCTTATATTCTCTAATCTGTATTAAGTTCTTTGAAGTGCTTTTTTAAATAAATTTTCTGCCCCAGAAAAATAGCAAAATAATAGGCTCAGAATCCAAAACAGAAGTTTGAAACAGACATATGTGACAACATACCATAATCAAATATTCTCCCAATTATTAGAAAAACGACAAAGAAAAAGTCTGGATAGGTAAATTAATATCGGGGCTGGGGATGTGGCTCAAGCAGTAGCACACTCGCCTAGCATGTGTGTGACCCGGGTTCGATCCTCAGCACCACATACAAACAAAGATGTTGTGTCTGCCGAAAACTAAAAAATATTAAAAAATTCTCTCTCTCTAAAAAAAAATAATTAATTAATATCACTTACTTATGTGCAGTGACATTAAAATAAAATATGAAAGATACCATCAAACTACTAGTTTTTTCAGACTAATATGAATTTCAATCAATTGGTATTAGTTGTAAATTATGTCAGTTTATTATGTTTTAGACACGTGACTAGACAAATGCTATTTACTCACATCATCAAATAACCTTGAGATTATAATTAGTCATAGGCTGTATAATGTTTCAGTTAATGATGAACTGCATATATAACCATGGTCCCACAAGATTAACTTGCCTAGTGACATTATAACCACTTAGATTCTATGATATCTATGCAATGACAAAAATCACTTAATGATGTTATTTCCCAGAAAGTATTCATATCATTAAGCATCACATGATTGTAAAGTTATGACATCTGAATCAGAATTAGTGTCAAGAAGGCAAATTTCCATATTTGATTCTCAGTTGTCTGGCTATTCACATCATTATAATGTTGAGAAATAGTGGGAAGAAGGAATTTCATGTCACAGATTTGTGTCATCTTCTCTGAGAAGCCTTCACTGACCTCACTAACTTAGGTCACCCTATCACATTCTCTACAGCAGCAGGTTAATTTCCTTCATACCAGTTAGAATGATTTGTACTAACCTATTTGTTATTGCTATTAGTTGCCTTTCTTCACTACCAGACTAGAAGCTTCTTGAGAGCAGGGACCTTGACCTACTTATTTACTCCTTTAATCCTAGATCTACCAGACACCTAGCAACAGAAGGTACTCAAGAAATGTGTGATGACTGAATGAACAAATGACTGAATGATTCTGCTTTTGGATAAACATGCAATAGCTTTAAATTTTAAACATGATATATTAAAAATAAAATCTATCTCTTGCAATTGTCAAGTAAAATTCTAAAATTTGGGGCAAGTATTTTCAAATCAATAAATATTTCTTGAGAACCTATCATTTATCCAGCTTTGTGGAATAACATAAAACATGATCCCTATGCTCAAAAGTCTTACTGTTTGGTTAAGGAGTTTTCTCCCCTAAATAATTCTAAAGCAAACAAATAATATGGTAGAAAAGGTCTCTTGGTTTTCTTTTTAGATCTGTCCACTTACACAGTGCTGTTTCCTTTTCCCCACTTTACCTAAATCATAACAGGAAATTATTTGACAGGTGACATTAAATTAGTGGAATTCAATTTCTTTTAACAGTAGTTCAGTGCCTATACCATATGTTACATGATACCCACAGTAAGGTGTGGGGCTGCTCTCAAGAGTGAAATGAATCAACATATCTGCAACAAAAACATGCTAAATATTTGGAATAAGGACTATAAATGGTCTCACTTCAGTTCAGATTTTACTTCAAGTGAATCAGAAGGGGGAATCTGTTTTCAATTTTTTTTTGGATTTCAGAATTGGGAATAAGGAGGCTGGGGATGTAGCTCAGTTGGTAGAGTGTTTGCCTTGCATGCACAAGACCCTGGGTTCAATCTCCAGGAAAGAAGGAAAGGAAGGAAGGAAAGAAGGGAGGGAGGGAGGGAGGGAAAGGAAGGAAGGAAGGGAGGGAGGGAAAAGAAAAGAAAAGAAAAAAGAATTGGGAATAAGGGATGGAGGAGCCGGATGGACTATCCAAAGACTTAGAACAATACTGGCAAAAGCAGCTATGAGGCTGCGTGCCCAGAGCCATCGCTGGAATGATGCATTTAGGGTAGTGTAGGAGAGAGCAGCTCTTGTTTTGCACGGGTTCTGCCTACGACTTGAGTTTGACTCAGGAGGACGCAAGCTCTGGCCGAGAGTAAAGGAGAATAATCAGAGAGAGTATCACTGCATTAGGAAGTGTTACTACTTCGATGGGGGTGGGGGGGGCGGTGCAATAGGAAGAGAAACTTCTTTGAGACTTAAATATGTGTTCATTAATCCATTCAATTAATAAATTCCCAGGGCTTACCCTGTGGCAGACTCCATCCTAGGAGGAGTAACAGGAAAACCAGTGCATAAGACCTGTCCCTGCCCACTGAAATCAACAGTGACACCTAAGACCTCATCTCCCTGCTTTAATTAGCATTCAAAAAGCACGGTTTTGAGGTCTTGCTCTGCCATTTGCAAGTTAAGGCTTAATGACTCTGAGACTGTTTCCTCATCTGCTGCTTCAGGAATAATCCACAGGACTGTGAACAGAAAGAACGGAGAGGTATGGAAAGAAATTTTAAACAACAGAAGGTAGAAGCCGAGAGAGAATCAACTTCCTGCAGACACGGCCTTCTCTTGGCAATCCTTTCAGAGTGACCACTGTGTATGGTGGGCCCGCTGCCCGCCTCTCGGCCACCATTCCAGCCACCGCCAAATGCTGGGGCACGGTTTCCTGCAGAGGGGAACCTGGGCCACGGGGAACCTTCCAGAAGGAGGGCAGGCCATGATGGCGACCTGCAGCAGGGACCTTCCCTCACACGAACGCTGCCTGGGAGCCTCAGGGCCCTCCTGTGCCCGGCCCGCACAGGCCCGGGCTGCTGGCAGGGAACCAGGGGCGGGATGGCGGCCAGGAC